TCCAACCTCTTTTGGAAGTTTTCAAGAATGCGCGCAATCACTTTCATCCCACGCTTCTACAAGAGAGCTTTCTTTCAGAGGTTCATAAGAACTCTGTTTGTAAGCGCAGGCTTTTTGCTCCAGAATCGACCATACATCAAAATCCAAAGGATTGTGATCGGGGAATTCGAAGGTCAAAACTGCTTCGCCCCAAAAACCCGGAAGCGTGGTTTCACAACATTGCAGCATCTTCTTTGCTCTATGGGCTGGTGCCCAATCCTGCGAAAGGTTTAGCTGACAGTCATCGCGTTCCTTTCCCCCACCCCCAAGCGATCACCGCTTCCTCCAGCCCAGAAGCCCATAAGTTGATTTTTTTATTGCGCGTCACACTTCATGTGGGTCACCCTGTAGAATCGGTGAGGTGACGGATTGGAATGTGAGAACCCAAGGAGAGCTGTATTCTTCAAAGAACTGAGAGGACTTATAAGAAGAGAGTGATGTCATGAGTACGGCGATAGTGGATCAGAAATAAAAAAGAAAATCTTAAGCAATTGGTACCCTGAAGAGGGAGTGAGCGATTAAAATAAACTTCAGAGATTATGCTAGAAGCAGTGTAAGCTAAACACGTGACAAAGAATCTCAGAAGGTCATCAGCGTAATAGCATGGTGGGTTGAAAGAAAAGTAGTGCGAATGGAGCTTAGTAAGTGAAGGCACAAAAAGGTGCAGGATTCATAAGCTGATAGAAGGATGATGCTGTTAATGGTAAAGAATTACAGAATGCCGCAAAATCTTCAAAAGAGGGAAAGACGGTGAAAGTTTACAAATAGGTCTTAATTCTTTCACAAATAACAAAGAGGTTTAAGATATTCAGGGAAACGCAAAATTGAAAATTGAAAACAATTGTCTATTTTGAGCCCTTTCAATGATAAGCAAAAGTAATATGAGGAGATACAATAATTTCATTACATTCTCAAAAACAGTAGAAAGTAAAAAAGGGATATATGAAGAAATCATAGAAAACTACCTCCAAATGGAACGCTTTGCGGTGTGTTAAGCTGCCAACGACTCTGGTAAATCCCGGGCACTGAAGGACTGATCATTTCCACCGTCAGTTCAGCTTCTCCACCAGGACCTAGGCTGGCGACTGGTACTCGCATTTCGGAGGCTAGTGGTGTCCCTGGAACCGTCAGTTTGACAAGAATTCAACAAATTGATGTGCAGCAAATGCAACAAAAAATACCCACCTTCTACGAAACACAAGGCTGTACCCTGTGGCCAATGAACTCCTCCATTATTTTTAACACGCCACGACTTCACGAAACGTGTCTTAGGGGGCACAGATTCACCCTGTAACGTGGAATTGAGGGCGGGGGATGAAAGAACACTCAAAAGTGTACGACACCCTTAAAGGAAGGATTAGAGTTGTTAATATGAATTCTGAATTATAAAATGGTCCATCAACTGCTGTGGCTATGACCATTATTTCGCTTGAATGAAGAAAAAAATTTAATGAAAAAAAAAACGATAAAAAGCAGTACATAGTACAAACATAGGTAATAAGAAAATACAAGGACGCTGAAGATTACAAACCCAGAATTACACATACCTCACCAACCGTCACGTCTCTTACTAGTTGCATATTCAACAGTGGTAAGTCATAGCCGATTTCACCGACGTTGTTCGTATGCCCGTGATCATAGTACGCACCTACAGCATCTTGGAGATTCCTAAAGGTAACATTGAACAAAAAAAGGCAAATGACTTTTCAAAACAGAGAGCAGAATATAACAACTATAACTACTACCAACTGACTACCATTTGGAAAACTCGAGGATCAGGAAATCATGAAAACCTATCAAATAATCACCGAGTTTGAAAAAGAAATAAAGGGTGTACGGGTACCGCCATCTTTGCATGAAATAATGTAATTTTATCTGAAGGAGGCATAGCCCAGAAATCTAGGACCAACATCCACAAATATCACAACTATCAATAGTAGAGAGCTAAAAACCAGGAACTAGTACATTCTAGAAGGAAAATACGTATTTGAGCTTGACTATATTGTCCCACCACAGAAAATAAAGAAGTTAATCATACAGAGCACAGGGGAAACAAAGGAAAAATGGAATTTCAGGAAGAGCAAAAGAATACCTACCAGTTGGACATATCTAAGAAGAATGCACATAGTTCCGGAGACAAGCTAACGTCACCCAGAATGCTTTGAAACTGTTTTACTAGTACCTAAATAGAAATAAAATCAAAAATTTTAAAAACAAAACAATAAAACATGCTCCCTTTACATTTCTCCAAATGGGCATAATAACCAAACACAAATCTGGACGATCTCACCTCCTTATCGCTTGTTCCCAAACATGACAGTTGACGAATCAACATATTATCGATATCGTCGGTGTCCATTGGCTAAACGAATATTGCTTTTTGAATAAATAGCGAAGGGCAAAAAATTCATGTGGGACTAGAGCGTACATTAAAGCGGACATTGTAAAGAATAACGATTACTGAATGAAAAGTGACTTTTGCAAAGGCTCGTGAATTTCATGTGAAAGTCAGCAGAAACAAAAATCAAGCACAGCGTAACAACTAAGTAGTAAAGTGCCAAAACGATTGAAACTTGTTAGGTGAACAATAACTGGAGAGACTACGTCACACCCACAAATCGCTCGCAATAAAACGTAATTGATCATCATACAACTATTGTCGGTCATTTCCCGTTTTATCATACACCAGAGTATTTCTGCACAGTTTGAAACGAGTTTTGCACATCATACAGGGAACGAAGAATATCCGTCTATTTCGATCATTTGCAGGTAAAACATACTCCTTGCAAGTAGCCGTAGTACCTACTATTATCTAATATCAGGAAAAATTATTAAATTTCATTATTGTTAAAATAGTTCAAAGAGTTGCGATAGAGTAAGCTAAATGTTGTTCCATCGGCGGTTCAGCCTTCTTTTTCTTACTATTCTGAAACTATTAATTCATGAAGAATAATTTCTTCCTTTTGAGAAGTCAATTTCATGAAGTTTTCTAGGGAAATACTCTTAACAGTAAGGCAGTAAAAGTTATACCACCGATAGAATGACAAAAAGGCTACCGTTGTACAACAGGCTTGTTTTTTTNNAAAAAAAATGATTTGAAAAGAAGAGTAGTTACCACACCTTCATAAAGATGGACCAAGTACAAAAACTAGAAAACGGTAACGCTTTTTCGCAAGCAAAGGTTTATTCCCTCAAATCTCAGTCGAAAACATATTGAACAGAAGGAAAATATAACGATTCGTACAACCTCTTTACTTGGACATAATAATCCTAACATTACCATGCCATCCGCAGCCTGACGTGTTATCCGCGACCCAGGTTCCAACTAAAGCACGTTATTTCACGACCGGTATTACAATGGAGATTTTACCCATTTCAAAACGTACTACACCGACAAAAATTACTCTATAAGTAGGACCTGAATAGAGCAGGAAACATACCATTTTCAATCCCACAGTCTTTGAACCAGTCGAGAACATCAAATGAAACCTCGTTCTTGAGCATTTACCAAACGCAAAATACCACTACGGGATCAAGTTACGTTCTATTACAATGAAAAGGCTGAATTCTTAGTATCATATTTCAAAAGTACAATAGGATTGAAATCTGAAGTAGGAATCCAGAAAAGCCAAGCACCAAATCACTATTTTGTGCCAGGCCATTATATGTAGCCTTTTCACTTGGAAAGTTGCTGATCCCATTTCTGAATTAAATGGATATCAACATTGGAATCCTCATTGAAAATTTAACTGCACTCTTTGAACAAGTTCTAAAGAAGTAGTAAGGGCCAACTTCAACTTAATCGAATAACAGTTTACCATTTTAATCAAATGTTTCTAGTAATCACACAGACAACAAAGTAACAAAAGTCATCGTTTACCTTATGTCGTCCACTTACACCTCGAATGAAACTTTTATAAACATTGATTCAACTAAACAAACTAAGAAAAACCATTACTATTGNAAGTAGTAAGGGCCAACTTCAACTTAATCGAATAACAGTTTACCATTTTAATCAAATGTTTCTAGTAATCACACAGACAACAAAGTAACAAAAGCCATCGTTTACCTTATTTCGTCCACTTACACCTCGAATGAAACTTTTATAAACATTGATTCAACTAAACAAACTAAGAAAAACCATTACTATTGACCTGATGCATGAAAACTACAAGTTTTTGGAACAAAATTCCAAAAGTGCGTCATGAAATCGTTGTTCCAGAAAAATGAATCTTTAGCTTCAAATTACTTTTAAAATGTCACCAAATTACGACAGAATGACGTCATCTACACTCTAAACACTTCCAATTTCAACAGACGATAATCCTCAATTATTGGAATTGGAAGCATCGAGATTTCCATTATCCTACCCGAACAGAAAAAACACTGGCCATGGCCGCAGGAATAAGCTTGTGCAAACAGGCATCATATGGATTGCTATCACGATTACAAATCCAGCAGTACTCTCAATAGAAAGTAATTGCCTGATTGAAAAGCCGTTTAATAGGAGCTAGGAGAACACGGGAAATAGCGTAATTGGACTTTGTTTGACTCATACCTTATGATGGGGACCATAATGACCATGCAAGACCTGGAATTACAAGGAAAGAGAGGATTCCCGATACGAATTATCAATTCAGTGAATATTACAATTATATACCTCATATCATATCCAATTTTAAAACATTTAATATGTTGAAAATGTGAGAAGACTAAAATAGAACAGTTATCCGCTTACTTTTGACATCACGCGATTTTGCACCGCGCTCAGATTTTCTTCCTTTTTGTTTCTAAGTTTGGCTTAGATTCCCTGAGTAAATGTTAACACTTCACAGTGATCTGAAAAAAGTCTAACGGGAATTATTTAAAGTAAATAATGAAACTACTAGGGGAATCTTCATCGCCTTAACCAGTAAGTAGAGAGTGCACCTGGGACTAATGGGATTTACATGATAAGCTCCTTTGGAAATGAAAATATTCAAACCACTTTTTTGGAACAAGTTCAGTTGCCCCGTTACTATTTTAGGAATGGTTGAAACAGTAGCATAAGTACAAATAAAAAATAGCACGACCATGAAATAGCAAAAACTAAATAAAAAACCTAAAAAATCCCTTCCAAAATGACGTCGTAACTTGTCAACGGCTGCAAAAAGTAATTGAAACCGGATCATCACTGTTTTTAAAGAGTAATAGAATGTAAAAAATATATCTGGCAGGGTTCCAATGCTCGAAAAAGCTGTAAGTCAATAAATAGTAAGGTCAGCTAAAAGGATATTAAGAGCTACCGCAAAAAACACAAGTGCTACCTAAATCCGACTAGTTAACTGTTCATTAACTAAGTGGCTACTGGTACTGAAGTGCGTCATGTCAACATTGTGAAATACTTACAAATACATATTTTTGTGACAGTGGTGATGAAAACAAATTGAAAACAGAAGACAAATAGACGATTTTTTTTTCGAGGGAAAGCCTTAGCCGAAAAAACCTTTTGTAAACAAAACCACGCTGTGTGATATCTCCAAGTATTACCGGTTCAAAGAGGTAAAAACAAATTGTACTTGTTTTGAAAGAACTAGTAGTAAAAAGAAAATTTGATAAAATCAATTCCAGAAACATATCAACATCAACTTCCATGACATAAATATCCTTCTCAAATGGAATAACTAGGAAAAGCTGATTTTAAAAGATTGTACAGCACTTCTTAACTCTAAAATTACTCGCGAAAGAACGAGTAGAACGAATACGAGACTGAAAGAAGAAGAATACTCATTACAGGTTATCATAAATTACAAAAGTCCAAAAGAAAAAAAAATCGCGTTCTTCTTATTTGCCATTCACACGCACATCGCTTCTGATTTTGTTTTTTTCTGACGCCAAGAATTCAGAACCGAAAGCCGTCAACATGTGTTCGTTAGTGTGTCGTAGGAAAATAAAGATAATTTATGTGCATATTTATGGAGTTATTTTTAGATCAGCGTACACTATTAGAAAGAGATTCTGGTGGTATATTACTACAATCACGTAGGTCTACCAGGAAAATTTTTGAAATTTGAGTTCTGTGGCGTATTTCAAAAGTTGGTATACTTGTTAAAGTTTCTGCGCCATTCGTTCCAAGTATTCATCGATTTAGCGTATAAATGGAATGAAACCGACAGAAAAGCGAAAAATGGAAATTTAGAAAGTATTTAACGTGTTACAATTACTACAACCGTTACATTTATTCCATTCTACAAGTATAGGTAGAAAAATATAAAGGAAATTATAGGTGTGTGATCCTTCTGAGAACTTAAGGACGGGAAATTCAACGGAGTGCTAAGGCGATTCCCAAATTTCCCTGGAGAAAAGCTGAAGAGCGTGGGCGCCCGGGCGCCCATTTGCCAGTAAAAGGAAACACCAAGTTTCTAGCTTCGATCTGCCTCTTTCCAGAAGACGCCTAGCGTTTGGCTTCTGTTTAGAGTCGCAATATCGTTTGACAACGTATTTAGTCTATACAATGTTTCGTGGGGCACAATCAGTGCTTTTATCCTCCCAGACTGGTCTGGGAATCGTTTTGCCGACCAGTGGGTATGGAAGCCTTGCTGGCTTGTGAATGTAACGATAAGGGATTTGATCTCTCGACCCCAGCTGAAACAAGAGAACAGCAAAACCGTAGATAATGAAGTCTTTTGGGCAGTATTCTGTCGATCCTACCATGGGATGCTCCCAGGATCGTAGTGGCGTATGGAATGCGTATGTGTCCTACACAATGACTTGCTGTAATCAGCCTATATCCAGGTCCATTTATCCTCCTGGGCAAGACTGGATCCGAATGACTGACCCGAATAGGTGGATAGGTTGGTGAACTGGGCGAAGGTTAATTTAGGATTCGATCCTTGACAGTGCGCGTGTGATAGTGTGCCACTTGCCACTACACCACTTCAGCACAATAGAATAAAAACTAAAAGCTGCTTTCAAAAAGTAACAAATGATTGAAATTTAGGCCTGTAAGAACTATTTTCTTTTACTTTTCTTTTGCTGCTATGTTTATTCTCTTTTGCTGTTATGTTTATTTTCTGCTAAAAACTACCGCCAAAGTTCTCCGTGTGTTGAAAAGCCGCTATGACAACATGGCTTTATTTGATTATATAATAGTTTGCGGTTCCTCTGCTTCGGTTTTTAACAGTTAGCAAGCAGTGCGCTACTCATTTGTTACTTCCTAGTATATTTACATTTCATTTCTATCTCTCAGCTTGACCAAAATGATTTATCGCCGCCGTCAATCTCCTTCTTCTGCTTGTGGCGTACATCTTATTCATCCCTGTCCGGCTTCATTAACTTCTGGATTGGTTACTAACCGGCTGAATACGTGTTTCGGGTTTTTACTACATAGTAAGGTTCATTCACACCACAACTAAACCTAAAAAAAATTCAAAAGAAACTTTATCCTGAGGCTTCTTCCTCAAAAGAAGTTGAGGAAGAAGCCTCAGGATAAAGCTTCGAGGTGGGAAGGAAAAGCGGTCTGCTAGAAGAAAGGGGGTAAGTAGAAAAAGGGGAAAACGAAGCAAGAGGGCTGCGTGGACG